GGCACTGTGTAGCTAATGATGGACATTACTTTGAATAAAGCACTTTTGATGTTTCTCTTGAAATTATCGTGTTTTCTTTGATTACAAAATCCACATTATTAACCGGTACACCTGGTAAAATGTAATCTGGTACTTACACTTGTAGCTATCATCTGCATTATTACTGTGATATCAACAAACAAGAAATATGGTCAAAATTTTGACCTTTGCTAAAATTTTCTGTAGGCCAACAGAAAATCTTTAAGGCCACCTTTCAATATAAGTCAAATATTAAGGAAGATCAAATGCTGTGCCAAAAATATCAAAGACAGTAACGTTGTAATAATTAACTCTATAAAATTGCTGACAGTAACAATGCAAGCACAAGCCCAACCAGTGTGGCTCAGTGGCTGAGCGTCAACCTACGAACAAGGAGGTCACAGTTTGATTCCCAATCAAGGCACATGCCGTTGTTGTGGGCTCAATCCTTAGTAGAAGATGTGCAGGAGGCAGCTGATCAATGATGTTCTAATCATTGATGTTTCTCTCTCTCTCTCTCTCCCTCTCCCTTACTCTCTCTGAAATCAATAAAAATATATACAAAAAGAAGGGGGGGGGGGGGGGCCACAGAGTCTGTGAAGCCACAAGAGCCGAAGCTGTCGTATCCCCTTCCTTTTCCACTTCCCGTTACAACCAATAAGGGACATTCATATCATTTCAGGTGGGGGGAAAAAAAAGAATGCAAGCACTAAAGAAATTCAACAATGGCAAAATTTTTTAGGAATCCTCTATTTTCTTCTGTAAAATTCAAATAAATAATAACTATTGCTCAGTTTATAAAATTCTCTGAATAACTAACTATATATTGAGACCCCTAGTTTAACACAAGTTCAACTGCAAAGTAAGTATGCTTTTGTAAGAAGGAAATGTTGGCTTCTCTTTTATTCACTCAGCTTCTCTGAAAAGTAGAGTTCTTATAAGTAAACCAGAGGAAGTAAGAAAAGAAAAAGGAACAGAAGGACATGGCTAAATGGGGGCAGGGTGAAGGAGTGAAAAGGGGGAAAGAGGAGAAAAAACCACCTACATACCAAACATTTAAGGTAACTTTGTTAAATTCTCAGAATTTTTAACAATTTTTATAGAACCCATTTTGCCAAAATACAATACACCATTAGTTCACATTTAAGAAACAAGTTGTTCTGAATCAGTATCAGAAGTAAGTTAATGGGGGGGCTAAGGACACATATGTAATACCTTAATCAATAAAGAAAGAAAAAAAAAGTTAAAAATTATGTTTTTAAAATCTGTCGAATGTTTATGAGGGTGCTTTAAAAAAATTCCAAATTATATACAAATCCTTTTTCTTTCATATATATATATTTTTTTTTTTTTTGATAGGTGTGGTAACCAAAGCTTATTGGTTTGACAATGAACCAGTTATTTCATTAACAATAAAGAGTTGGATACTTGCCTTTATCACTCTTCCTCAAGCACTTCTAAAGTATACAGGAATCCTTTTAGTAAAAGCTGAAAAGCAAACATTAATAATTAAGTGAGAAACTTAGAGGGGAGAACTTATTATCTATTATATACACACAGAAAAATACTGAGTATATACATAAAATGTTAACATTTCTCTATCACTGGTAGAAATAGGGTAATTTTTCCCAATATTTTTCATTATTTTCTAATTATTCAAAACTCAAGAAAATTTTTAATCAAAAAAAATATATGGGGAAAAAATTAACTTATCAATACTTAAAAATGGCACATGTCATAAGTAGCAATGAATATTTTTACACTATGATATGGAATTAGAAATAGATATCCCAATAATTCTAATCTTAATATGAAATACAAGTACATGAAAAACAACACAATTTTATAAGCAAATGTTTTTTTCAAATAGCTTCCAATTCTGTATCTTTAATTTTGCATTCAAAAGCAACTCTAAAAACTATATCTACCATGTATAATTGAGATTCAAGATGCACCAGAATTGAAAATTTCCTGAAAAATCAGCTTCTGACAGCCATTACCAGGAAGCAATTTAATTAGACAAGTATTTTGGGGACATCTGCTATGTGCTCAGCATTATATACAACAAATAAGACATATTATCCTGCCCTCAAAGAACACACAATCTAGCACTGAAAGATTTACATACTTCAAACTTAAAGAAAATAACCCAAAACAACACAATTAAGCGCTAAAATGTGTGAGGGAAACTGCAATTACCATCAGACTTCTGGAAAAGCAGTTAGAATTAGATTTGTTTAGGAAAATTTTATGAAAGAGAAAAATACTTTCACTGAGCTTTAAAGGATAAGAAGATGAATAAACAGTAAGATATAAACCAAGACTTCCAGCTTAGACAGCAGTAAATACAGTATGTTTGGGGGCCAGTAAAGAGGCAAGGTGACTGTACTAGTGGATACACATCTGAGTCATCTAGAGAGAACTGGGCAGCTGGTGGGCAGGTGTGAGAGAGGTCTTTCTATCATATAACCTTCTGTATATTTTGAATTTTGTACCTCATGACATTATGTATTCAAAAAATAAACTCTCACACTTTAAAAAAGAAAGAAAATAAATGTTTTAATTTCTAGGATAAACATTTAAGAAAGGAGCAAAAGAGTATATAACTTCTATATTAATACAGTGGGGCCTTGACTGACGAGTGTCCCGACTAACGAGTTTTTCGAGATCCGAGCAGTCTTTCAGCCAATTTTTTGCTTTGAGTTGCGAGCTAAAATTCGGGTTACGAGCCAGCTTCAGATACCTCACCGCTAGTTGGTGCAGCGAACGTCACAGTGAACGCCACAACATCAGCCCAGCATCACGTGTCTCACTCGTTCACTGTTGATTTGACATACGAGTAATTTGAGTTACGAGCTCCGTCACAGAACGAATTAAACTCGTAAGTCAAGGCCCCACTGTAGAAAGGAAAAATAGGTCTGGCCAGTGTGGCTCAGCGGTTGAGCGCCAACCTAAGAACCAGGAGGTCACCAGTTGATTCCTGGTCAGGGCACATGCCCGGGTTGTGGCGATCCCCAGTAGGGGGCATGCAGAAGGCAGCCAATCAATGATTCTCTCTCACCATTGATGTCTCTCTCCCTCTCCCTTCCCCTCTGAAACAATTCAAAATATATTTTTTGAAAAAAGAAAGAAAAAACAGAATTAAAATACCCAAATAAATGCAAAAAGAGGGAGCACAATCACCAAAAAGTGGAACATATAAATAGCAAAACGTATGATGTCAAATGTAAACCCAAATATTCCAGTAATTATATTAAATGTAACTGGATCAAAAGATAAAAATTATTAGACTAAATTTTTTAAAAGGTGGGTACTGCAAATAACAGGAGGAACTTTGTAAACTATAGGATCGTCTAAGCACTATGCTGTACACCTGAAAGTAATACAAAACAGTAAATGTAAAGTATAATTTTTAAAAATTAACCAAAAATAAATAAACAAAATTCAACTATAATGGTGCTTATAAGAATCACATCTAAAAATAAAAAGTATGGAAAAGGTCATACAAAATAAAGAAAGTTGCTCTAGTTTAGTACATACACAAAGTAGACTTTAATGCAAAAACATTAACAGTTATAATTTATAGGATGAAATGTATACTTCATTAGAAAGATATAACAATTTTAAAATCTGTATTCATATAATTATATAGCCTCCAAAACTTAGCAAAATTACAAGTGAAAAATATCCATAAGCATAATGAGGAAATTATTATCAGTAGTTGATAGAACAAATGACCCAAAAAAGGGGGGAAATAGATAAAAATATAGATCTGAATAGCATGATTAACAAGCTGGACTTAAATAGACATTCATAGGACAAAGCACCCAGTAACTGCAGAACAAATAATCAAGCACAAAAAGATCATTTATAAAAATGGATCATATGCTGAGTTCTAAGGCAAGTCTCAAGTTATTCTATAACCACAAAGTGTATTCCTAAGGTTTAGCGAGTAGAGGAAATTACTCTCCCTTCCCCCATTTTCTCCTAACCCAGTGGTTCTCAACCTTCTGGCCCTTTAAATACAGTTCCTCATGTTGTGACCCAACCATAAAATTATCCTCGTTGCTACTTCATACCTCTAATGTTGCTACTGTTATGAATCATAATGTAAATATCTGATATGCAGGATGGTCTTAGGCGACCCTGTGAAAGGGTCGTTCGACCACCAAAGGGGTCGCGACCCACGGGTTGAGAACTGCTGTCAGACCTAACCCAACCTGGCCAGTGGTGGTTCTCAACCTTCCTAATGCCGCGACCCTTTAATACAGTTCCTCATGTTGTGGTGACCCCCAACCATAAAATTATTTTCGTTGCTACTTCATAACTGTAATTTTGCTACTGTTATGAATCGTAATGTAAATATCTGATATGCAGGATGTATTTTCATTGTTACGAATTGAGCATAATTAAAGCATAGTGATTAACCACAAAAACGATATGTAATTATATATTCAATATGTGCTTTCCGATGGTCTTAGGCGACCCCTGTGAAAGGGTCGTTCGACCCCCAAAGGGGCCGCAACCCACAGGTTGAGAACCGCTGCTCTAGGCAATGCCGCCTGGATGGAGCAACACAGAGGCTGGACAAGCAACTAAAACCCTGAAGGAGAAAAAAGCCTTCTCTCTGACTAAAGGAAACAGTCACAAGAGCATGGATGAATCCCACCGCAGTTAGAAAGATTAAACCACAAATGTTGACAAATTGCTGAAGACTGAATATGAGCTAACATGAGAGTGTAAAGTCCCTGGGGGATGTAATCATAGGAGAATTCCCACCCTATTACAGGCTGGAATTTCAAAAGGCTTACTAATGGGGGATGGGATAGGATGTGGGAGAAATCAAAGAAAGCTCCTCATTCCTGCCCTCAGGAGCTTGAAGAGCAGAATAGCAGGCAGTGCCAACTGGCCCAGACCTATTTTCCCTATCTCCCTACGGAATAAAAGGCTTAATCTGCAAGGAAAAATTAATCAAGGCCTGTGTACCCTGAGAACACAGGTAAGAATCTTACTATAGCTAGAGGAAAGGAAAGGAGATTGACATATCCAATCTTCACTATCTCTAAAGAAAAAATAACCTTAATGCAGAGGGGTGGGAGTGGAGGGGGCTTTTAAAAATCTTAGCTAAAAAAGAAATGGCTTTAAAAACCTATCTTAGACACCAGTTGGGGGTAAAGAAAGAAGGGTAGACACTCCACCCCTGAAAGTAAAGTGGAAAGTCTTGTGAAAGCTACACTTCCAAGACCCAGGTTCTAAATCTAGCCCTAGCTGGCTCTGTTCCTGTCAAGGGCACATGCCTGGGTTGCAGGGGCATGCAGGAGGCAGCCAATCAATGATTTTCTTCTCATCATTGATGTTTCTCTCTCTCTCTTCCCTCTCCCTTCCTTTCTGAAATCAATAAAAATATTTTTTTTAAAAAGACCCAGGTTCTAATACATGCCTAAATATGAGGCTTAATAGATCATCACAGAACTCCCTCACTCTCCATTACCATGCCAACAAGTTTTGAGCAAAAATAACAGTGGAACACAGCTGCAAGAGACAGATACACTCTGAGAAACAGCACAAAGGGAAAACCCAAAGCCAAATGAGATAAGAGACATTAGGGAAATTTGAAGTCTCTGGTTTTGATGGAAACTACAAATGTCAACTCTGATAACTATAGCAATAATAAACTTCAAACACAGCCCAACCCCTAACAGATTAACACAATTCCACCCTAAAAGGACTAGAGAAGAAAACTTGTGGTTTTCTACAATATCAAATATCTCAACCTAGGTATGTACCCTGACCAGGAATGGAACCTGCAACCTTTTGGGGTATGGGATGACACTCCAACCAACTGAGCCACCTGGCCAGAATGTAAAAAATAATTTTGACAAGCTTATTAGTAGACTTGAAACAACTCAAGGGATAGGGAGGAAGTGAACTGGAAGATAGGCTAATAGATATTACCCGTACTGAAATGTAAAGAAAAGAAAAAAAGAAGAGTAGGAAAATAAAGCGAGAGAAAATACAGGAACTGTGGGAAAATATCAAACAATGTAACATACACATATTTACTAGTATAATGCCAGAAGTAGAAGAGAGAATGAAGAAGAAATATGTGAATGGCTGAGAACTTACCAAAATTAGTGACAAGACACCAACACCAAAAAAAAAAAAGACTGAATACCAAAACAAAACAAAAATATATCTAGGTATATCATATTCAAATTGCTGAAAAACAAGGAGTAAATTTTAAAGATAGCCAGAGAAGGGAAAACATCTACACTAATAAAAGAGAAACATGGTAATTAGCATACGACCGCTACCCTTTTCATTGGCTAATCAGTGAGTATATGCAAATTAACTGTCAGCCAAGATGGCGGCCAGCAGCCAGGCACTGAAGCGAGCAGGGAGGCTTGCTTGCTGCAGACTCCAACGTTCCCCGCCTCACTTGCCAGCCTCTCAGTTGCAACTCTAAGCAACTATATACTATGTTGCAA